TCAGGAAAGATAGGCATCAGGACTGAATCCTTTCTCCCTACCTATTCAATCTATACCCTGAACATTCGAGAAGCTGGACTCTATGAAGAAGAATGTGGCATCAAGATCAGAGGAAGACTCGTCAACAATCTGCATTATGCAGATGACACAACCTTGCTTGCTCAAAGTGAGGAGGACATGAAACACTTACTGCAGAAGAGCAAACACTACAGCCTTCAAAACAGATTATGTCTCAACGTCAAGAAGACAAAAATCCTCACCACAAGGCCAGTAGGCAACAGCATGATAGATGGAAAAAAGATTAAACTTGTCAGTGATTTCATCTGACGTGGATCCACAACCAAAACCTTTGGCCCCAGCCCTCAAGAGATCTAAAGGTATACTGAATTAATAAAGTCTGCAGTCAGGAATCTCTCTAAAGTACTAAAGACGAATGATTTCAGTTTAAAGACTAAGGTGTGCTTGAGTCAAGCCATGGTCTTTCCAGTCACTTGCTATGCGTCTGAGAGTTGGACAATGAATAAGGATGACTGAAGAACAATTTGATACCTTTGAGTTGTAGTGTTGGAGAAGAATGCTGAATATTCTATGAAGTGCCAGAAGAACAAACAAATAGGTCTTGGAAAAAGTGCAGTTAGAGTACTCCTTTGAGGCAAGGATGGTAAGACTTTGTCTCATATACTTTGGACATGTTGCTAGGAGAGGCTATTTCTTGGATGGTGACATCAGACTTGGAAAGGTGGAAGGTCAATTAAAGAGAGGGAGACCCTCGGTGAGATTGACCGACACAGTGACTACAGCGGTGGGTTCAAGTACGTTGGAGATGATGAGGATGGCACAGGATAGGGCAGAGTTCAGATCTGTTGCTTATAAACATATAAACAGTGGCTATGAGTCATACTCAACTCAGCCGCATCTAACATCATGACGTGGAACTGACACTATACCAGAGGGTTTGTCTTTGGGGTTTGGAGTATAAAGGAGTAAATCCTCTGGATGAAGAATATTGTCACTAATTCTGACTCACGTAATCCCCCAGGCGCAGGGCTGTTTCTCACCCTGTTCTTGGATAAGTTTAAACAGGACTCAACTGAAGTAAAATGGTTTGGTTTTGGTTTGGTTTTTTGGTTTTTATTTTAACTCTCTTTTGTGTTGAGAGTAAGTCAAACATGAATTATTTATCATCTCCTTGAAGACAGAATCATGAGAGACTTATAGGCCTTTGGGAACCCATAGAACATAGCCCTACAAAACCAGAACTTTTTTGAAGAACTTGACATGTAAATAGAAGAAATCAGATGACTTATGAAAATGTGGCTGTGGAAGGAAAAGGCCTTGAGAAAACTCACTTGGACTCCACTATTGGTTAGATGTTGACGTTTGGGGACTGTACTCATAGTAGTGAGACCTTCGCTGCCTTCTTCTCTCCCAAGGCTGTTTTGAGGAATAGCTGAGCAGACCCTGGAGTCTCCTGATCAACCGTAAAGCTTTGCGCACGTGAAGATTGCTTTCTCCGGGGCAAAATGATTAGCCAGATGACTGCACTCTCATCGTAACCTGTATCTCACTGAGGCTGGTAGCTGGGTCGCATCTTTGTCAGAATAATGTTCTAGTACAAACTACCTAACGGCTTAAAACCCCAGTCATGCATTCACACGCGTGGGCTGGGTTGTCATGTGCTGTGGCCTTGGGTAACATGCGTCTGTCACCTGTAGAGCCAGTGGTCTGCCACCAGGGCACCTTCTCATGTTGACGGTACAGGCGTGAGGGCAAAGCAGAAGCACACAAGGCCTCTTCTGACCCAGGCAGGACCTGGCACCTTGTCACTTCTTAAATGAAATGGTGCTGGTGGAGGATATTGAATTCTAGGGAGCCTTGCTCTTGATAGGTGCCCTCTCCCAGCAACCTTGTTAACAATAGAAGGCAGGCCCACCCACCCATGTGCCACACTCACTGTGGCTGCTGTTTTGAGCAACCATCATGTCTATCCGTCTGTTGAGAGTCTTCCTCTTTTACAATGACTCCTCTACTTTGCCAAGAATAATGTCTTTTTTTTCAAAGATTTGTGCCTCCCAATAAGATGCCCAAAGTTTGTGAGATGAACTTTCACCACCCTCACATCTGTGGGACATTCTGGCTGCACTTATTACAAGACAGACTCTCCCCAGCATAGTAATGGGATAGGTGTGTCAGAGACAATGACATTAAATTCAGGGCTGTTGTCCATAGGGTCACTATGAGTTGCAAGTGACTCGATGGTACATAGCAACAACATGGTATAATCACTATTTTTCACCAATACCATAATTGAAAGGCATATAGATTCTTTTTTGTTCTTTCTTATTCATTATCCAGTTTTCACATGGATGTGATGTGATGTGATTGAAAATACTATAGCTTGAGTTAGGTGAACCTTAGTGTTCAAAGTGACATCCTTACTCTTTATCCTTGAAGAGTAAATGTGGTATCTTTATGCAAATTCACCTTCCCTCTTTTATTAGGAGCTTCTGGGGGACCTAATGCTTAATTTGATATTACTGAGACTTCTGCCTGGGTCTGGGCAATTATAGATATTCTCTTGCAGCTTGTCAAAATCCAAAACCCTTTCTAACTCTTTATAGCAAGTGGTAGCAGACTGTGGGTTTAATATGGTCCTGTGTTTGCTTAGCCAGAGTTTATGCAGAGTTTAGCAATACTAAACATTTATATGAATTTCCAGTTAAATTATTCATAAGTTAAGGGTTTTTTAATTATTTTTCATTGGTTTGCATGCAAATTTGTATACATTGTGTTTCATCCATGTACATTATTTTTCACATAATCCTTCATTAACATTTGTGACATTCACGTACGTTGTGTTTTATGAGTCACCATTGATCTATGTTTACCTCTACCCCCATATCTAGTAGAATCCACAGATAAGTACAAGGTTAGCATACGTGGGCATTAACACAAAGGTTAGAGTTTTGAGTCTACCCAAGGAAACCCAGTAGGAAAGCCCTGGCAACCTACTCCCCAAAAGTGAACCATTACAAACTTTGAAGCACAATTCTGCCTTTCCACACACGGGGTCACCATGAGTCAGCACCTCCAGTCTGGCATCCGTTTGGCTTTGTCTTTTCTCTTTAGTGCCTGTTTCAGAGCTGTAAGTCACTCTGGTGGTTCAATGGCTAAAACATTCAGCTGCAGACTGAAAAGGTGTGTATTTGAACCCACCGACTGCTCTGCCCCAGGGAGAGAAGGTCTAGCGGTGAGTCCCTGTAAAGATAGACACCTTGGAAAGCCTTTCTGAGAGTGTGGCTGTGCGCTAGAGAATTGCTAGGACACGGTGGGAGTCACACGCTATCAGAGTTATAATAGCCTGTTGTTGTTGTTGGGTGTCATGGACTCATAGCGACCCTCTGACCAACAGCTCTGAATCCTGTCTATCCTGTGCCATCATCATCTTCTTGGTACACTTGAGCCCACTGTTGCAGTCTCTATATCAGTCCATCTCATTAGAGGGCTTGTCTTATCTTTAGCCGGTCCTTTCCAAGCGTGATGTCCCTCTCCAAGGAGTAGTCTCTCTTAGCAATATGTCCAAGGTGTGAGAGACTAAGCTGTGGCATCCCTGCGTCCAAGGAGCACTCCAGCTGCACTTTTTTGCAGGATATAGCTATTCTTTTGGCAGTGGGATATTCAGTGTTGTTGTTGTTGTTGTTGTTGTTAAGTGCCATCGAGTTGTGGATGGCTCATGAACGAAAGACCTGAACACCTGTATAACTTTCATCGTTTCTTCACACTCATGGAGTTTCCAGAGGCAAGCTATTTAGGAAGCGGATAACACTCCTGCTTCCAAGCTTGTTTTAATCAGGGAGCTTCACCAAACACTGTCCAACCATGGGTAACCATTATCGCGCTTGACACATCAGTGTCACAGTGTTTAGCATCACAACAATCACAAGTTACCTCTGTACAGCAAATGGACAGACCAGTGCTATTCCACTTGGAAGAATTTTTGACAAAAAGCAATTAAAAACCAGGCCTGAGGGCCGCAGATTAAAATCACCTGCCTTTGGCTTGGTCACATCACTTTTTGTCCACTAGGCTAACTGAGCTTTCTCGTTGTTGTTGTTCTTGTTAAGTGCCATTGAGTAGTAGGCAAGTCATAGCAAATGAACTGACCAGTGCTATGCCACTTACAAGAATGTTTGACCAAAACCAGTTTAAACCAGGCCCAAGAACCTCGGATTAAAACCACCCACCTTCAGCCTGGTAGCATCACTTTCTATCCAGTAGTCTAACTGAGCTCTCTCTGTTGTTAAGTGTCTCTTCTCTAATCTCACAGCTCAAAAGTATAGATTCTTCACTAGTAGTCTGTAGGTGGCGCAATTGCGCTGACAGCTAACCAGCTAGTAGTTCGAATCCACTCACTGCCTCAGAGATACAGAAGACCAGGTGTGGCTTGGTGCTTTGATTAAGACTGCAGCCAAGAAAGCCCTGTGGATCATTTCTACCTGTGAGACTCCTAGGGCTGCCCAGGGTTAGAAGACGCTCGCCTGGCAACAGCCAACAACAACAGACCTCTAGCCACACAGCTGGTGTTGATACCATGGTGAGCCACTCACTGGCTGGCCCATGATGTTCAAGAGGCGGAGGGATTGCATAATAATGAAAGAGTTTTTCTTTCTTTTCAAGGAGAAGAGTGAATTGCAGGGGGAGAAGGGAGAAAAGTGCAACAATGAATGACTGAAAACCCTAAATTTTCATTGAAATTAAATTTTTTTTCAAAAAAAAAAGAGGCGGCTAGAGGCACACAGAGAAGGGAATCTCAGCATTAGATGCAGCTGGTTTCTAAGGCCTGTGTTTACTTTTGCCTTAATGTTTTCCTTTCTTCTTCCCCCAGTAATCGGCTCCCTGGGACATCCATGCGCCCTCTCTGACCGGCCGGAGCCCTCGCCCAGCTGCAGCCCTTCATGCCCCAGCGAAGCCCTGCCCTCTGAAGCCCCCCGGTGTCCAGCATGGCCGCGCTGCTCTTGGGCGCGGTGCTGCTGGTGGTTCAGCCGCAGCTCGTGCCTTCCCGTCCTGCCGCCCCAGGCACCCAGGACCCGGGGCAGCCCCGCCAGCCGGAGCTGCTGCGCAAGGCGGCCGCGCTGGTGGACGAGCCGGTCCCGGACGGCGTGGCGCCCAACGGCTCGGTGCGCCAGCTGCCGCAGACCATCATCATCGGCGTGCGCAAAGGCGGCACACGCGCGCTGCTGGAGATGCTCAGCCTGCACCCGGACGTGGCGGCGGCCGAGAACGAGGTGCACTTCTTCGACTGGGAGGAGCACTACAGCCACGGGCTGGCCTGGTACCTGAGCCAGATGCCGCTGGCGGCGCCGCACCAGCTCACGGTGGAGAAGACGCCCGCGTACTTCACGTCGCCCAAAGTGCCTGCGCGCGTGCACAGCATGAACCCGGCCATCCGGCTGCTGCTCATCCTGCGCGACCCCTCGGAGCGCGTGCTGTCCGACTACACCCAAGTGTTCTACAACCACATGCACAAGCGCAAGCCCTACCCGGCCGTGGAGGAGGTGCTGGTGCGCGACGGCCGCCTCAACGTGGACTACAAGGCGCTCAACCGCAGCCTCTACCACGTGCACATGCAGAACTGGCTGCGGTTCTTCCCGTTGCGCCACATCCACATCGTCGACGGCGACCAGCTCATCAGGGACCCCTTCCCCGAGATCCAGAAGGTTGAGCGCTTCCTCAAGCTGCCGCCGCAGATCCACGCCTCGAACTTCTACTTCAACAAAACCAAGGGCTTCTACTGCCTGCGGGACAGTGGCCGGGACCGCTGCTTGCACGAGTCCAAAGGCCGGGCGCATCCCCACGTCGACCCCAAACTGCTCCAGAAACTGCACGAGTACTTCCACGAACCAAACAAGAAGTTCTTCGAGCTGGTGGGCAGGACATTTGACTGGCACTGATTGGCCACCAGCTAGGCTCAGAGAACCTTTCCTGTTGTAAGTTCGGGTGTACATCTAGAGGGGGGGAGAGAAAAAAGAAGAGAATTTTAAAAAAAGGGCATTTAAGCTATAATTTATTTGTAAAATCCATAAATTCCTTCTGTACAGTATTAGATTCACAATTGCCATATATACTAGTTATATTTTTCTACTTGTTAAATTGAGGGCATTTTGTATTGTTTTTCATGGTTGTTAACATTGTGTAATATGTCTCCAAATGAAGGAACTAAAATATTTCACTGAAAAAAAAAAGATTTTTTCTGGACACACTGTCTTTTTTGAATATAATTAACTTGCCCCCAACTTGAAAGAGCTGTCTGTGTCCCACTCATTGCAGATCTCTGTTCCTTTGTTTATTTTATAAATATGAGCCCTTTGTTTGCTACGCTTGCCCTTCTCTGCCACTCTGTCCTGTCTTCGTTGCTCTTTTTCATTGGTACTATCTCGCTGTAGTTACCGGATTTCATTTTTACCTGCACTAGGATGTTTACCTTGAGTGAGCTTCTCCCTTATTTGTGGAGGGGGTAACCTCACCCATCCGAGACTTGAGTAAAAGTGTACAAGGAGCAGAGTGTGAATAGTAACCTGAAGGAACCTGGAAATGGATAAAGCAACATTAGTCTCAAACTTATGTCCACTCACGTCGAGCTAGTTGCCTGCCATCAAGTGTGCGCTGGCTCCGGGGGGCCCGTGTGTCAGAGTGAAACAGTATTGTAGAGTTTTCAATGGCAACTTTTCTAGGAAATCTAGCACCTGATCTTTTCTCAGAGGGACCTTTGGGTAAAATCAAACTGCCCGCCTTTCTGACAGCACATTAACCATTTGCAGCATACATGGACGTCTTGTCGTTGAGGTGTACAGAGGTGGGTCTGGCACGTAGCTGACCCTCCGGTGGGTTTGCACAGGCAATAAATCTCCTAAGAGGAGACTGCTGATCCTTCTCCCACAAACCAGCCAGTGGATTCAAACCAAGTGCCTTTGGGATTGCAGCACAGCTTCTTAGCTCTAGGCCTCCAGTGGCCCCTTATTAAAAACAAAGCCCAAAGGAAAACTTCACTACTGGTTGTCCTGACTCACGGTGGTCTGTTAGGGCAGAGTGCTGGTGTGTACTGTCCAGTTAAAACTGACCCAGAGCTGACCTGCCAGACGGCGAATCCTGTGGGCGGGGACTGCCCATCCTTCTCCCAAGGAACAGCTGGCGGATTTGAACCATGTGTCTTGAGGATTGCAGCACAGCTTCTTACCACTAAAATTAGCCCTGTGGTTTCCAAGGCTGTAAATGCTTAGGGATGCACACTCTCACCTTTCTCCCTTAGGCTGATGGCTTTAAACCTCTGAACCACTAGCCTTTGCTCACCAGGTGACCTCCTTAACCACTGCTTCACCAAAGCAATATTTAATAACTTCAGGGAGCTCCTAGTGACATATTTTTTAACTGCAAAGAGTATTCGCAACACTTGCACAGCAATGGGTGAAGCCTCTACAAAGGGGAGATTAAACTTTTAACAATGTTCCTGGGGCGCTCTGCTTTTCCCAGGTGGCATGCAGTGAACCTCCTGCAAGTCACTCAGGAGAGAAAAGAGAAGGTGCGAAGTCAGTCATCGTCCCCTCTCCACAGATGCTGTGGGGGAGGTGATGGTAAAGGTACGGCCACTTATCTGCTTATTTCCGGAAAACTTAATATGCACTAATAGGTGTGGTGTTCGTTGAGATATAAATAAGTGCATATTTAAAAATCACTTGTGCACTGGCAGTTTTGAAGATGAAAAAATGTAAAGCCATGAGGGTTGAAACTAATAAAAGGACAAAGTGGATGCTGGTTGGCGAGGACTCATTGCACCTGTGCATGCCGTGAGAGGTGATGTGAGATGCCGAGTCTGTTCCAACTCAGGCCCACTTTGTTTACGATCTGGTTCCGTTAAAACCCACCCAAAGCTGACCCTCCTGGTGGTGAATCATGTGGGAGGGCATTGCCCATCCTCCTCCCAAGGAGCGGCTGGTGGTTTTGAACCGTGTGCCTTGGGGATTGCAGCACAGCTTCTTACCACTAGAATTACTAACGGTCTGGTTCGGCACCATCCTGACAGCCTCGGCGGTGCTTGCTGAAGCTCTTTGTTGCAGTGCTGTGCTGGTCTGTTTCATCGAGGTGCTGCTTCTCCTTTGCTGACATCCTACTTTTCCAACCATGATGCCCTTTTTCCACGGACTGGTTCCTTCTGGTCATGTGCCCTAAGTATGCACCCTGGCTTCTGAGGAATGGTCCAGCAGAGAATCCTTGATCCCCTGGTTCTTTCTAGTAATGTACCCCAAGTATGTGAGGTGAAGTCTCACCACCCTCGCTTTTGAGAGGCGTCCCAGCAGAGTCCTTGACCTCAGTTTGCTTCTGACCTTGAACAGCTGCTTTTGCTGGAGGAGGGTCCAGTAGCCACTTGGAGACAAGACACTGTTTTCTCATGCTGCCTTCACGCAGTTACCAGCCTTGCACCAAATTACATCCATGCTTTTTTGTATCAGGAAAGCAACACATATTCGTTACGGTAAAACAGGGCATACAAACAAGCAAACCAGACCATCTTTCCAGCATTGTTCAGACTGAAGGAAAAGGAGAGAAGCCAACATTATTGATTGTCTCCCACTTGTGAGAGCATGGAGTTAAAATTCCCATCACGGCCTCGGGAGGTAGGGGTTATCGTGGCACGTTCAACAGGAAAGGAAATAGGTTCCAAGAACAGGAGGCACTTGTCCAAGGTCACATGCATCATGAAAGTCTGAGCTTGCAGCCCACTCCTTGTCTCTTCAGAGTCAAAGCTCAGCTTCTTTCTTTTTTAATTTTTTCTTCTTCCCACTCAAGTCTTTCTGAACTTAGGACAGGCCTGGATTTGGAAAGCCTTTTGGTTTTTTTGCATTCCTAGTGCCAAGCATTTTCCACCTCCAGAAGTGTGTACCCAAGCCAGAGGAAAGAGGCAAGAATGAGCCTGTGTTTTTCTCAGCACTGCTCTTGGGGAAGTGAGTCACCTTTGGTTATATTTGGGAGGCTCCAGTTAGCCTTGAACTTCACATGGCCCACACCCCACCCCAGGCGGTGCACGCTATGCAGAAATACTCTAATTCAAGGCCTTTCAAACTAAAACCAAAATTCCAACTCATAGGAACCTTATACCACAAATGTTGTGGTTAGGTGCCATCATGTAGAATATGACTCATAGTGACCATACGAACAACTGATTTGAACACCGCCCTGTCCTATCCCATGCCATCGTCATCATCTCTGACGTGCTTGAGCCCAATGCAGCTGTCACAGTACCAGTCCTTACAATTGAGGGTCTTCCTCTCTTTCTCTGATCCTCTCCAAGGACTAGCCTCTCGACAACAGAATGTTGTTATTGTTAGGTGCCATTGAGTCGAGTACTACTCCCAGTGACCCTATGAGCAAAAGATCTGAACCCTGTTCTATCCTGCACCCTTCTCACACTTCCTGACACACAAGAACCCACTGCAGCAGTCACCATGTCAGTCTACCTGGTTCACGGTCGTCCTCTCCTTTGCTAACACTTCCCAGCATCATGTCCCTCTCCAAGGAATAGCCCCTCCTAGCAACATGCCCAAAGTATGTGAGTGAAGCCTCATCATTCTTGCCTCCATTGAGCACTCGGCTGCACCTTCTCCAAGACGTTCATTTTCTTGCCCGTCCATGAGCTCAGTGCTCTTCTTCGACACCACAGCTCAAAGGCACCAATTCTCTTTTCTGTCATCTTTATTCATTGTCTAGCTCTCAGATGCATAGCAAGTGATCAGAATGACCATGGCCTGAATCAGATGCGCCTTAGTCCTCAAACTGACATCAACTTCCCTCAATAAAATGGAGAAGTCCCTAACTGCAGGTTTTCTCAGTGCAATGCATCTCCTTACTTCCTGGCTGCCCTCTTAGATTCTGAGGCTGTAAATATTAATGGGAGCAGACTGCCTCGTCTTACTCCCAAGAAGCAGCTGGTGTGTTTGAAATCAGGTTTCCGAGGCAGAAACGCCATTGTATCTTCTGACTCATTGGGACCCTCCGTCAGGCTTCTTAAATTCATTCACAGGGAAGGAGAATGTCAGGTTGCTCCAGCAAAGCAGCTTGTGTTTGAACTGCTGGCCTCCTGATTAGCTGCACAACATGCAAAGAACTACTTTAGCAGAGCTCTTTTCTCAAGATTATTGATTAGAAAATTCTTCCTAGGGCCATCGCCTGCACGGAGCTGGTGGGCTGAGAGCAGGGAATGTGGAAAGAAGGGGTAGTGAGTAGAAAGAAGCGTGCTCAGGTAAGGATGAAGACCGGCTCTGTCGTCTGCGGCTGGCCCAGGTGATGGGTGAGGGGTGGATCCGTGAGTGTAAAAACATTATATCATGATTGATTTGGGGGACAGAGAATGTAGCCACAAAAGTACTATGGGCAAGGATTTTGCAGTCCTATCACTATGCTAGGGAGCTCTGGCGGCATAGTCCATAGGGAGATGCAATCCGAACCCCAAAGCTATGCCTCTGATGGTTCAAATCCACCAAGAGCTCTAGTGGAGAAAGATGAGCAGTTGCCTATATGATTTTCAGCCTCAGAAACCCAATGAAGAGATAGATAAGACTTGGTTCTGACTTGGAAGCAATGAGAGAGAGAGAAAGGGGGTCCACGTATTCATGGCATAAACTATATCAGATCAGCCTTCTTGAAGATAAATCTCAGACTAGCTTAGGTGCTGAGATCCTGTCCATCACACTCCGGTCTAGAGGTTCAGCATAGACCAGACACTGCTGATAAAATACCAAGGCTTTGGATTCAAATGAGAACCTGGCCCCTCCCGGACATGCCTGTGCTATGCACAGAGACAGAGATGTGTTCTAACCAGGAGGACTTAGATGCTCGCCCTGACTGGGCAGGCCCAGCAGTGACCTGTGAGCCTCTTCCTGCATCGTTTGGAGAGGAGACC